GTTTGGACAACAATTTCATTACAGCTTGAAAGAGCATCACCAAATTAGTAATATTTCGAAGTTTCGTTGCGAAATGTTGTAAAATGCAGATAATATAGCCCTGCGAAGTTTGCCGTTTTTCAGTCATTTTGTATTACGCGCGGAAAATTGATACCTTTTTTCAGAAGGCGGTATCAATTTCCCGTGTGTAATACAAAATGACTGAAAAACGGCAAACTTCGCAGGGCTATATTCCGCATTTTACAACATTTCGCAACGAAACTTCGGAATATTACTAATTTCGTGATGCTCTTTCACGCTGTGATGAAATTGTTGTCTAGATCAAAATTTTGTTCATTAGGAAATAGGTCCATTAATTAAAACAAATTATTCCTCTGCTACCGCCAACGATGACATATACAATAATGTCTTTATTATGATGAACAAAGACATTTATGTAACCGAGTCTGAAGCGCGGGTCTGAAGCTTTTATTCAACAAATATTGCTACAAAGACAGTTGTTAGAACCTTTTCATAGTTCTTCTACAAATAGACAGATTTTGCCGCGTTGTCTGTTCAGTTATAGATACACGGTATGACGTCACACTGTGTATTACCCATTGGTATTAGGGACGGACCATTAGATATTTGAGGGGGGGGGGGAGTTGGACAATTTTTCTGTGCACGAATTTTTTTTCATCCCCCAATTGCTTGCAAGAATTTTTTTCTGCAACATTCCTTTGCACAATAAAAATTTTCCCGGAACGTTCGCCAAAAAGTTCGTCGACAGGGGGGGGGGAGGGGAAAGAGGAGGAAGGCATATTTTTTTCGATTGTCATAAAAACACCATTTTAATGTTTTAGAATAATTGCATTACGATTTTTAAAATCAGCCCTAGTTCTTGCTCGATTTTTTTTTTCAAGATTTTTGTTGTACACGATATTTTTTTCTGGCTTCTTTCTGTGCGCGATTTTTTTTTTGGTATTTCCCCCTCCCCTCAAATATCTAATGGTCCGTCCCTTAACACATCTGTTACACATTATGACGTAATACTGTGTATCTATCTTTATACAGTTGTAGAAATTATGTTCAACAGCTCAACCTAAAGTGGCTTAAAAATGTGTTTGTAGTAAAGTGCTTCAGACTTTGTTAGTACCCTGCAGCGATCTACTTGTGTATGCACCACGTCACTGACATGTATATCACATTTATATTGAAGCCTAAGCCTAAGGCCCCACTACTTTTTGCCAAAAAAATCTACACACATTATTACAAGAAAAATATCGCAAACTTTTGCAAAACGATACAGATGATCAGATCTTGGGTATATTTTTAAACAATTTTTTTATAGAGTTGAAAAGAGTTTGGAAGTACTTAAATAGGCTATCTTCAATAAAACATGCCCCTCTTTATCGAAACATTGTTTGGAAAACGGGCGATCAACTTTAAATCCCCAATCAGTTCTAAAATCCCCCCCCCCCTAATTAAATTAAGACCATACTGCACAAACGTTTGACTCGAAAACTTCAGTAAAATAATGCACTAACAGTAACTCAAAATTTTTAGTAAAATTGCCCGAGTTTATTACCAACAAATTTGCTCATTTTTTGAGTAAAGAGAATCTTTACTGAATCTTGTTGGAAATTTAGGAGGCTTTGCCCCTCCCCCCCCGGAAAAAGTGAATTTCTGCCACTGCATAGGGAAACGCTTGGTGATCAACTTTACACATATTGCCGCTTTATGCCTTGTGTAGTAAGCAAGTAAATTTCGTTCAATTGCATATATTTGATACCAAACACAAGATCAATACTTGTATTGAATATTTAACTCGATCCGATAAATATGTTTCCATTTGGAGTTGACCACCAAGCGCTAAACGTATCACGTGACCCAAACCCAGCTGTACGTTCACAATCGAGCAGAGGACTGGGTCTAGTTGATGTTTGAAGGGACGCTTGGAGGGATGGATGAGATGCCTTATTATAAGTGTTGCCGTTTCAGGCTGCACAAATAACTTTAGGAATGTAGGAAAACTTCGTAGATGCCATATTCGGCATATTGTTTATTTTTGTCCCTCCAAACAAGCGACTAGACCCAGTCCTCTGCTCGATTGGGAAATGACTAATTGAGTAAGGGACTGGTCATAATTTAGCAGGAGGGGTGGGGACCTGGAACCAGTGGGGGGTCACATATTTTTTAGCCAGGAAAAAGGGGGGTTCATAAACTGAAGGCGGGGGGGGGGTCTGCTGTTTTAGTTCAATTAATTGTTTTATACATGCCTTCTCACATTCTGTTTGAGTTGCATTGAAAAAAATTGATTCTTTAAACTTAGAATGAAAAGTTTGAAAAAACTAAAGTTTTATATGTGACTATGTACTGGTATAATATAAATTTTAGTATTTGATTTAAAGCGTAACTACAAAATTAGAAAATTTAAAGTGCAATTAGAAAATTCATTGAATGCAGGGTTTAGTAGTAGTAGGTACATTTTTACTGGCACGAGCAAGAGAGAGAGAGGGGTATATACTGACACGAGCAAGAGAGAGGGGGGGGCATTAGCAGGGTTATGGCAAAGCAGGGTCACAAAATATCATTCCTTAAAATTTTGAATTACACCTCCCCACCCCCCTGATAAATTATGACCAGTCCCTAAACTTGGAACTTTACTCAGTAACTTTACCGAAACATTTTGAGTCACTGTGTAGGTGCATTATTTTACCCAGGTTTAAAGTCAAAATACTCAGGGAATTTTTGCAGTGCATTTCTAATTCACACTATATACATATCTTGTCGGTTCATCAATTATTGATTGAAACACTCAGGGTTGTTGCCCGTCAGGAATCTAGAACACAAAGAACAGAAATAATTTACAAACACAAACTATTAAAAATGCTTAAAATACTCATTAATAATTCATAAACCTTGTGGCAAATCATGCCAGTCATAATATGTCACGTGGAGTGACTTTATATCTGATAAAACACATGTGGCATTATATAATTGTTCACCCTAATTAGCATGATTATATAATGGTTCATCCTAATTAGTAATATTTTATAGTCGTATTTTAAGCTATTCAAAACACTCGTTGTCGTGTTTTATCAGATATAAAACGCTCGACTGCGCCTCGCGTTTTATATCTGATAAAACACTCCTACTCGTGTTTTAAATAGTACGAAACCCTTAGGAGGCGGGTTATGTTACGTAACACACGGTCAAAACAATAGTAATAGAGAGGTTTAGCAAAGACGACGAGACGTCAAAGACGACGTGAAAGTGACGTGGCACATCCATATAGATAGGCATATCACGCTATTTTTACGTCGTCTTTGACGTCGCGTCGTCTTTGTTAAACCTCCCTAGTGAGTATAATCCGCCTCTTGCGGTTATGACTAAATTCAAAATTTTTATTTTTCGATGCGTTTTTCAATCGGCAAATCTAAAAAGTATGTTTAGTGCTTTATCTGTAAAATAATGCTAAAATGAAGAGATTTTAGATGGTACGCCAAAGAGAAAATGATATCTGAAATTCAGTAAGTTTTGCCCATATATTACTGTATAAATATGGCGTCACTTTTAAATGTACTTTAATCAATGATTTTAATAGACCTCATGCATAGTGACGTTACAAGGCTCAATGCCCACGAGGAATGCTGGTCTTAATTGTTGAGATAAGTACCTTTTAGTGTTTAAAGTTTAAAGTATATTTATATGGTTGATATTATTTAGCATAAATTAGCATAAAGTACCGTAATACAGTTAATATATACAGTACATCGGACACGTGACTATACGTTCGTTAAACGTTATTTAGATCCGCCATTATCGGTGTAGTTGTTGTTTTCAAGCGGGAAAACTATATTTTGTGAACCTTTTAGTTTCTTTTACAACAATAAATTACATAATCTAACAGGTTATGGGCCCAGGATCGTGGTAATGGATAGCCAAACGATAAAATGGCTAGTTTTTAACGGAAAAGCTGAAAACTACCCAGCATGGAGCACAAAGTTCACCGCGTATATGCAAACGAAAGGTTTATACAAAGCGCTTCTCGGGAAAGAAGTCGCACCGGAAGAGATAGCACCGCTAGCAGGGGATGCTTCAGACGAGCAGAAGGCCGAACGGGAGGCAAAAGTTCAACAAAGAAATAAACAAATCGAAGAAATTGAAGAAAGAAATAATACGGTATGGTGTCATATTGCTTTAGCCCTCGACAATAATAGTCTTTTATATATAAGACATGATTGCCTGTCATCAGATGGTGTTGGGGACGGGGCAAAGGCGTGGCGTTTGCTACAGCAGAGATATTCCAACGTGGAAAAGCCAACTGTAGTAAGTCTAGTTCGTCAAATTTCTCGATTACAGTTAAATGAAAATGAAAAATTATCCGAATATTTTATACGAGCGTAAGAATTAATGTCTCGATTAACCGAAGCTGGTGAAAAGATATCAGAAACACTATTCAATGCCTTAGTTATAAACG